ATAAAGAATCAAACGTGCGATTATGTTGTTGTTAAACAATAAAGAATCAAAACGTGCGAGTATGTTGTTGTTAAACAATAAAGAATCAAAACGTGCGAGTATGTTGTTGTTAAACAATAAAGAACCAAGAAGAACGTGAGACATCAGAGTCAATATCAATTGACTCAATACGAGTCAATATCACGTAAGTAGACAATAATTCAAGTAATATGACATTCTTCAAAAATAATGTATATCAGAAAAAAATGTTGTAATAGTTTTTGGTGGGAGAGTAATAAATAGTTAGAATGTATCGGTAAAAAAAAAAGCAATTTGTTCTCCATTTATAAGTTAATAGGAGGTAAGTCATTTCTGATAATTACCATTCCAAGTAGACTTTTGCAATTTAAGATAAAGGAAAGATGAGTTGTTTCTTTAATATATTCTGAAAGTTTTCACTTACATTTTAGAGCTTTGTTCTCTTCGTTACAAAGTTTTCCGGTGTATCCCTTTTCACAACTGAAAAAACACATAACAATAATTTGTTAAACAAATACCCTAATATCAATACAAAATGTAAATTAATACTTTGGACTGTCAAATATACATATTATACTATTCTAACTAGAAAGATTTATTGTTGAAAAAAATAAATAGTTGATCAGGAACTTACTTGCAAAAGAAGCCAACGTCTTCCTTGATACACTCGCCATTCTTACAAGGATTATCGTCACAATTACCTAGAATACAAAAACATTTGTTACAATAACCTATTTCACATGTTTCAGAAATAAAACTTGAAAAGGGTTTTTAAAAATTTTATGGCAAAGATACAAAAGCTTTCAGTCGCCGACTCTAATTTTGAAGGGAAGAAAATCACCCACCATCCACGCTGATTGTCACTCTTATAACGCACCCACAGCCTAAAGTGCAGAAAATATATTGTAGTATCGTGCGAATTCGAATCCGGATTGCCAACTCCGAAATTTAGAGCTCTACCATAGGGACAGATTCTATTGTTTTCTGATTTTTTTAATTAATTATACAAATGTTATTTATGAATATGGACTGAGGGTGAATCAAGTAAACCAAGATCGTTAAATTAATCGCTTTTTATTTTTAAAAATCTGTAATTTTCCAATATATAAGAGACAATTACTACCTTTTTTACCCTATCATGCTCGTATAAACAAGTTATGTATCATTAAATAGAACTGAAAGTTATTTTAACTAAGTTTCATTGGCTAACTTTGAACGAGTCTCAGCCACCAATGAGAACCTACAAACATTATCTCCATTAATTTGAACAACATGTATTATCTTTAATTGCTGTATCATGAAGGTAGCTTTATAAAATTCAAACACTGAATAGAATATTGCATTAAACAGTATCCATGTATGCCAATGGTGTTATATTTTACTTTGATTAATTTCGTCTTGGTATTCGCTGCTATAAATATGTTTAATGAAATACAAAAGAGGCTTATATTGATCTCGCGCAAATAAACGTGTTACAGTAACAAACAAAACTATACATTATTGTATATAAATGTTTTTGTGTAAGCTTATAAAATATTAATAATCTTTTTTTTTCTTATATAAAAATATTATGTGCAGATATTTAATAATGATAATAAATATAGCAACGCGCTTACCGATACATCCCTGCCTAGGATCCGTCTTATCTTTGGATAACTTATAACCACTTTTACACACACATGTGAAGTTGCCTTCTTCATTCATACAATCTGTGGAATCCAGTGGACAATAATGTGTTTTCTTGGCACACTCGTCGATATCTAAGTGAATATGAATAACGTTATTAGATGTTGTTTCCATAGAGAAAATGATGGATTCCTGTTCTTTTATAAGTTGAAAGTTATGTACATATAACATAGTCCTCACATGTAAACGTTAATAAAGAGAACTTTAAATAAGAGTTAAAAATATATACACACATATACATCGAAACAACGTTTCGTTAGTGTTAACGTGCAACGCGAAATAAAGGAAGACATTTTAATTGAAGGATGAAAGATAAACATGAATGAACATATACATCGAAACAACGTTTCGTTAGTGTTAACGTGCAACGCGAAATAAAGTAAGACATTTTAATTGAAGGATGAAAGATAAACATGAATGAACATAAACATCGAAACAACGTTTCGTTAGTGTTAACGTGCAACGCGAAATATCTTTCATCCTTCAATTAAAATGTCTTCCTTTAAACATGAATGAAATAAAACCGATTTATGTCTGGTTTTAAGTTCTTTGAATTATTTATGTGACGTCAACTTGGAGAAGTGTTCATACAGGGTGACGCAAAAGTTCAACATGATGTTTCTAAGTCCTGCCCTTACTATGACTTTACGAAGGCATGCTTGTGGAAGCAATTCTAAGCATTTTAATTTGGGGGTAGGTCATGCACGTTCTGTTCGTCATTTGTCCAAAATAAGTTAATTGGAACTTACTAATGCTTAAGTTATTATACCGTTACATATTTTAATTTGTGGGTAGATTATGCTCATACTTTTGGTTGCACGTCCAAAAAATAATTTAATGCAAACTTACTATATGACTTTCTATTCTTCTTTACAAGGCATGTCCCAAGAACCCAAATGACGAGTCCAGCTATTTATTATCTTATACTTAGTTTATAGACGAGACCTATGCTAATCCTAATTACAGAATATCGTGAACTTGTAAACACACAAAATTTAGGTAATGACGAAATATCAGACTTACAAAAATTAGAACCTTGTATCATGTTGTAATAATCTCAAACGAAAAACCGGAACAATATTTTGTTACGGATATCTAACAATGAAAGGGCTTACGTCACTGCATTTAGTGGCACTTGCTCAGAGTGAAGTATAATCTAATGTAGCAGGGAATTACACACCAAAAACGATTACGTCATATTCCACAAAGTGTCACCAGAGAGCGCGTTGTTAGGGACACCTTGCTAGGCCGCCATGACGGACGATTACATAATAGATCCACAAAATAAAAGACGTGTTGCTAGGTTACCATGGCAGTCGGCCCTGGGGCCAGCATAAATGTGATGGCCATGTCTCAACATGACTATAATTAATACAGTCGGTATAAAACAATAATTCTTTAGTTAAATACATTTCCTGATCATTTATAAGTAAATCGTCCTGAAAAAAAGGACGCTTAACACTAATTTATTAGTTATCCACCTTTCCTAACCATTTATATCTAAATCGTCATAAAAGGACGATATCATGAAATTATTAAAACATTGACTCTTTAACTATAAATCAAGTGATTATTTCAAAACATTTCGGTGCTTATTTAATATGCAAGACAAAATATTTCATTGTACATAAGAGCTATTACCTTTACTGCTTAATGAAAATCAAATGGTGGCTACTATTGCACTATTTCCAGGAACTCGTTTTATTTTTTTTTGTAACCAGTAGAGTATCCTTATTGATTTATGAAAATTCTCGTAACAAGATATTTGTGAAATTAGGTTATATGTTGTGCTACTTAGAACTTGAAATTAGATTACAGTTACTGAAAAATATTAGTTACATAAAGTTACTAGAACCTAAATTAAAAATGATTTCATTTGAAATAAATAGAAGAGGGAACGAAGAGCTCTAGAAACAAAAACTGTTTAACGATGTTAGGATTACAAGAAGATGTATCGTACTGATATTAATAAAATTATCTAAAGAAGAACTTAATACATTCATTTATATCAAAAGAATAAGCGTTACTAACCAACGCAGTACTCAATTTGTGCAGTTTGGATTTTATTAGTCCAAACAATTTGATATCCTTTGTAACATTGACACTTAACAATTCCTTCATCGTCAGAACACGAACTAGGAGTAGGACAGAAGTTAGGTTTGTTGTCTTCATCGCATCGCTTATACTCTGATAGGTTGTCTTCTAATAAAAGAAAAGGAGAAACAAAAAATTAAGTATTATCATATTTTGTATTCCAGAATACTATTTGACACTGTGTTAAAGAAAATGTATATTGTATTATTATGGATTGTTTCCAGTCTCCAAATTACTAAAATACAATAATTTACTGTACAAGGTTAAAAAATGGTAAAAAACCCGATGAGACTGGAAAACAGTCTCATACACTCTACATGTTTCGACGTATACTACTGAGTCATCCTCAGGAGTGTAATGTTTTGCAAAAATAACATTTATTTATACAATTATCAAAACACCATTTTACATATTAAAGAATTTCACGCCATCTGCCGACAACATCTCCATCAGGTCCACTATCTTTATTCAATAATTTATTTATTTTTTTACATTTAATTATCTCAATAGATTCACGTATATTCATACCAATCAAATCTCCAGGTTGTGCTAAAATAACAATTTTTTCCCATTGAATTGTGTGATTAGTTTCATTAACATGTTCTGCTAAAGGTGAAATAGTAATATTATTATTTTTAACATTTCTTTTATGTTCATTCATTCTGAATTTTAAATTTCTTCTAGTTTGTTCTATATAAACTTTTTTTACATTCACATAACATTTTATACATGACAAATATTTCCATTAAATCAATTTTATCTTTAGTTGTATTAGAAATTGTTTATCGGTTTGTATATCGGAAATATTATGTATTTGTTTTTTAAATGTTTTCATTACTTGACAAGATAAACCAGGTATATCTCTAAACAGTCTTTCTTACTTATTTTCAGCAAATGGTTTTAGCTTAATATTTTTATCCCTGTTTTTTTAGTTTTATGACAGCTCTGTCAACACCATATGACATATCATATATACCTATCTTTATAAAACACTGGTCACTGTCTTCAAACTGAATACAAATGATACTTACTGAATTTTTTGATACTATTAGTTGAAACAACCAAACTCGGTGGAATCACGCAGACTTCTTCTGTACCTTTACAAACTCCTTCAACGCTTAAACGATTTATTGGAACTTCTTTGGAAGTAAATTGAATGGAAATTTCATAATCAGCTTTTCCCTTATTCTCTCCCCTAAAATACAAAATCAACTTATGAGAAAATGTCCTATTTTTAAAATATATAAATAGTAATAATAATTGTGAACCGTAAACTATTTTTTCTCTTGTGTTTATTTGAAGGTTTTAATGATACATTTGATATTGAACTTCTAGGAAGCTGACTTGATATGAAGGAATAGGGAATGGGAAGAATGAATATGATCCACATCTTCAGTCCCCACCTACTTATTATACCTTTTAAACTCGATCGTAAAAAGGAAGTGTACGTCATCAACCAAGAAATATCTTCCATAAATAAATAGTTTTTATGACCCATCCATTGTCACAATGTTTCGAAATATATCGAAATAGAAACGTAATGTATTTATTAACATGAAAATAAATAACAGCTTTTCAAAAAACTCTTGATATACAAACTTTTAAATTTGATTTTCAAAGAAAATTCTCTAAACAGAAAATCATTGTTAACTCGATGTATAATTGTTGAATTTCTAGATCAAATCATTGTTAACTAGTTGTATATTTGTTGAATTTCTAGATCAAATCATTGTTAACTAGTTGTAT